TTCCCCTGGGAAGAGGAAGTGCTTAGCCTGAGCGCTACCCCAGAGGCTGGGGCCCTTCTATCCTGTCTCACCCCCAGAACTCTCATTTTAACTGCCTCCCTGTCCCTCACCATTTCTTTAAACTTTCCACCACAGAATCCCAACCACAGTCAAACAAGTCGTCTTCTTTCCCCGGACTTACCTGTTCTTGACTCTAAACTTTGTCACTGGGCCCATGTCTCCTCATTAGTCTTCATGAAAGCAGAGATGTTTTATCAGTTTTGTCCACTGCTAAATCTTCCAACACTCAGAATAGTGCCTAGCATTATTGAATGAAGGAACAGTTGAATGCAATTATTACTTGGTGTTTAAGACCAAGTAATAATGTAATTGTTAAACGCCAAGTAATAATTGCATTCAACTATTCATAAGTCAAAAATTGCACAAGTTTATCTCATTGAGTAAAGAGTACATCTCAGGAAGTTCAGTGAAGATTAACCTAATGGATATCAAATGTTAGTTTCAGATTCACATTGCTATTTCAGGCTATTCTAGCTTGCCTTTCAGATTCACCTCCAATTGCAAAGTTTTATTTTCTCTTTGGGTTGTGTTACCTTATTGCTTCTCCGCCAAGTTGTTAACTATCTGGTAGCAAATACTTATCTGTAGAGAAAAAATTCCATATAAAAAAAACCTAGTGATTCATCTTTTTCTATAGTTAAGAATTATCACCTAATAAAATTGTTTGGTAACTGCCTGATTTTTTAAGCTTTATACTGTCAAGTTAAATCTGTGAGAAGCTAAAATGATCATAAAGATAGCACCCTCATTCAAAGCTCAGACCCAGCAAAATTGCTATATGAATAAAATATGTATACAAACTAATCTTTTTAAAAAACTTTTCCCAAGGCTGTATATGAATATAAAAACCCAGATTTGAATTATACATGCAAACTGTAAAAGCAGAGACACATACTCCCTATTAAGTCTGTGTTCTAAAATATCCAGTTACCAATCAAGAAACCCCAACAGATTCCAAAGAAGCATAGCCTGTAAGAAACCATGACAAGGTAAAAGATTATTGTCTGGGCCGGGCGCGGTGGCTCAAGCCTGTAATCCCAGCACTTTGGGAGGCCGAGACGGGCGGATCACGAGGTCAGGAGATTGAGACCATCCTGGCTAACCCGGTGAAACCCCGTCTCTACTAAAAAATACAAAAAAACTAGCCGAGCGAGGTGGCGGGCGCCTGTAGTCCCAGCTACTCCAGAGGCTGAGGCAGGAGAATGGCGTGAACCCGGGAGGCAGAGCTTGCAGTGAGCTGAGATCCGGCCACCGCACTCCAGCCTGGGTGACAGAGCGAGACTCCGTCTCAAAAAAAAAAAAAAAGAGAGATTATTGTCTGGCAAGTGGTGCCTAGAATCAGTTCTGAGGGGGCCAGAAGGGACTATGAATCATAGCGTGAGAAAAGATAATTTGCAGCAAATTGGTAAAATATGTGGGAGGAGCTAAAGTAGTTAGGTCTGCCGGGCGAGGTGGCTCACGCCTGTAATCCCAGCACTTTGGGAGGCCAAGGTAGGTGGGTCACCTGGGGTCAGGAGTTCTAGTCCAGCCTGACCAACATGCCAAAACCCCATCTCTACTAAATATACAAAATTAGCCAGGCGTGGTGGCAGGTACCTGTAATCCCAGCTCCTCGGGAGGTTGAGGCAGGAGAATTGCTTGAATCCGGGAGATGGAGGTTGCAGTGAGCTGAGATCACACCATTGCACTCTAGCCTGGGCAACAAGAGTGAAACTCCACCTCCAAATAAATAAATAAATAAATAAATAAATAAATAAGTAAAATAAAGTAGTTAGGTCAGATCATGAGCAACAAGAGGATAATAGAGGCCTGTTTGTCTGGTTGTGTTGCTTTATTGTGGTACTATCAACTGTGAAAAGCTGAGGCAAGCCTGACAGCTTGTGAAAACTACAGAACCAGCCAGTAAGTCCTTGTTTCAGCACCAAATCTAATTTATACTGGCTATGTTAACTTGCACAAGACCGTTACCTTCCTGAATCTGAATTTCCTCATTGCAAATTCAATCTAAGCCCCCTCACAGAGCTGTGGTGCTTGGATTGATCACAGTAGTGCACATATTTACTACATTATCATGTGCTGGACAGGAGCCAGGCCCACCCTATACCAGTTTTCTCTTTTTAATCACTGGCACCTCCTTTCCTACAGTCGTTGAGGCAAAAAACAGAATCGTTCTGTCCTCCTTTCTTTTCTCCAGCTCACATCCATCCCATGAGGAAATCTATCAACTCCACCGTTAAAATATATCCAACAACATTCTACCACTGCTCACCACCTCTACTACAACTACCTGGGCCCCTATCACCAGGTTTCTTTTTTCTTGTTTTCACTTAGGCTATTACAAGAGCTTCCTCACTGATATCCCTCTCTGCCCTACCTTTGCATCCTATAGTTCTTAATCTTAACACAGAGAGAGCCCTTTAAAATATGTCAGGTCACACACAGGGTTCATGCCTGTAATCTTAGCATTTTGGGAGGCTGAGCGGGAGGATCACTTGAGCCCAGCAGTTCAAGACCAGCCTGGGTAATAAAGCAAAACACTGACTCTACAAAAAAAATTTAAAAATTAGCTGGGCATGGTGATGTGTGTCTTTGTTCCCAGCTACTCAGGAGGCTGAGGCAAGAGGATTGTTTAATCTGGATAGATTGAGGCTGCAGTGAGCTGTGACCATGTCACTACCCTCCAGCGTGGGTGACAGAGTGAGACCTTGTCTCAAAAATAAATAAATAAATAAATAAATAAAACTACATGTGTCACATCACAGTATTCATATGCTGAGGCCCTTCCAGTGGCTCAGATCTCACTCAGAGCCCTTACAATGACCCACAAGGCCTGTGGGATTGGGTTCCCTGCCATACCTCCCTGACCCAAATCTCCTCTTCACTAACTTGGTAACAGTCACATTGAGATAAGAGTTCAGAAGGGCTTAGTTTTTAAGACACAGGTCACAATGACCCCACTGATAAAACAAGATACAGTAGAGAAGCCAGCCAAAACCAGCCAGAACCAAGATGGTGATGAAAGCGGCCTCTGGTGGTCCTCACTCCTCATTGTATGTTAATTATAATGTATCAGCATGCTAAAAGACACTCCCACCAGCTGCCAAGACAGTTTACAAATGCCAGGCAACATCCCAAAGTTATGGTGGAAAGATATGGTCGAAAACGGAAGGAACCTTCAGTTCCAGGAATTCCTTGCCCCTTTCCCAGAAAATTCATAAAGAGTCCACCCCTTGTTCAGCTATGATCAAAAATAACCATGGAAATAGCCAACCAGCAGCTCTCAAGGCTATTCTGCCTATGGGGTAGCCACCCTTTTGATTCCATTACTTTTGAATAAATTTGCTTTCACTTTACTCTGTTGGCTCAATCTTGAATTCTTTTCTGTGTGAAGCCAGGAACCCATGTGGCCTCCCAGGCTGAGCCCCACTTTTGAGGTTCACCCTGTGACAACATGTCCTACTGATGCCTTCATTTTAGCACAGTGAGACTCATTTCAGACTTCTCACCTCCAGAACTGTAAATTTGAGGAATTTCATTGTTTTAAGCCATTCAGTTTGTGCCTGCCATCAACACCGTCTCAAATTATTTATTCCTACACCTTATGGTCCTTTGTAAATCATAAGCCTATGAACTCAGAAAATCTTAGACAAGTCTCAGTTAATTTAGAAAGCTTATTTTGCCAAGGTTGAGGACACATGCCCACAACACAGCCTCAGGAAGTCCTGATGACATGTGCCCAAAATGGTCAGGGCACAGCTTGGTTTTATCCATTTTAGGGAGACATAAGACATCAATCAATATGTGTAGGAAGTACATTGGTTCAGTCTGGAAAGGTGGGACAACTTTAAGCAAAGTCAGGAAGACTGACGTTGGGAAGGAGCTTCCAGGTCATAGATAAGTGAGACACAGTTACATTTTGAGTTTCTGATTAGCCTTTCCAGAGGAGGCAAATCAGATATGCATCTATCTCAGTGAGCAGAGGGGTGACTTTGAATAGAATGGGAGGCGGATTTGCCCTAAGCAGCTTCCAGCTTGCGTTTCCCTAAGTGATTTTGGGGGCCCAAAATATTTTCCTTTCCCAAGCACAATTCATGCTTCCTACTTTGACAGTACATTAAAAGATATGCAACATCTTTACATGATTCACAACCTTCGTGCCAAACCACTTACACTGTCCCTTTTTCCACTACAAACTTCAACTTTCTTTAGATCTGCACTACCCAATATCGTAGCCATTAGCCACTTATACAACTTTCTCCAGATCTGCATTATCAAATATGGCAGCCATTGGCACCAGGAATATGGCTAGTCTGCATTGAGATATGTTGTAAGTGTGTTGTAAGTGTAGAATACATACAAGATTTTGAAAACTTACATATATAAAGTAATGTAAGACATCTCATTAATAAATTTTTTTTTGAAATGGAGTCTTGCTCTTGATATCCAGGCTGGAGTGCAGTGGCGTGATCTCCACTCACTGCAACCTCTGCCTCCTGGGTTCAAGAGATTCTTCTGCCTCTGCCTCCTGAGCAGCTGGGACTACAGGTGCATGCCACCATGACCGGCTAATTTTTTTTTTTTTGTATTTTTAGTAGAGACAGGGTTTCACCATATTGGTCAGGCTGATCTCGAACTCCTAACCTTGTGATCTGCTTGCCTCAGCCTCCCAAAGTGCTGGGATTACAGGCGTTAGCTACCGCTCCCGGCCCTCATTAATAATTTTTAAACTACCGATTACATGTAGAAATTAGTTTGGATATGCTGAGTTAAATGTATTATTAAAATTAATGATTGCCAGGCACAGTGGCTCATACCTGTAATCCCAGAATTTTGCAAGGCTGAGGCAACTATTACTTGAGCCTGGGTCCAGGAGTTTGAAACCAGCCTAGGCAACCCAGTGAGATCCTATCTAAAAAATAAAAATAAAATTGTACCTCATTCTTTTTACCTTTTTAATATAGCTACTAGAAAATTTTCAATTATGCACATGGCTTGCATTATACTTCTATTAGATAGTGCTATATATTCTATAGCCATTGTAACTTCTAAATTTGGGACTAATCATATTGTGCATAGCCTCACTCAACCCTCAGGCCTGACGCAACAATGTCTGGCTTCATTCCTTGACTGTTGTTGCCCACCCTGTGCCTGATCGATAAGACACTCCCATCAGCCACCCAGCAACAGGTGCAGGAAACATAACCATGGACAACAGTGCTGCCTTAAGGCAATTGTGCTCTACTTACTGAAGCTCTACTATTTTATCTATAATGTAGCATTACAATTTTTACAACCCTGTTTTATCAGTCCCATTTGATGTTCAGTGTTTATATAAGGAAAAAAACACTAAAAGAAGACAACTGTTAGGAACACTTTGGTTCCTTCTTCCCAGGCTTGTTTAAACTTTTTAAGTTACATCTTATTAAATGTAGCTGTGTATATTAATACGCTTTTATATACGTGCAGATAAAACTATTGGAAGGGAAATTTCTAAAATGTTAACAGTGTTTTCTCTAGGTAAAGGTAAAAAACAGGTGACTTTTGTTTCATAATTTTATGATTTTTCTGAAATGTCTATAATATACATATATTGCTGTCATAATCTAAGGGTAAGAGACCTCAATTTATAATCAATCAGCCAAGCCTGATAAAGCAGAGCAAGCAAGTCCGTTCCACGTCGCTATGAACACAAGAGAAGGAGTGGGTTTCCTGTGGGGTTTGCTAACCCAAGAACCAAATGAAACAAATCAAGCTGTTGGCTGATTCTCTTTAACCATCTCCAACAGACTGTCTGCAAAGACTCTTAGTGGAAAGAGAAGGAGGTAGTCCAGGATATTGAGGATGAAAATATAGATTCAATGAAGGTGAAGGGGATATTTCCTGAGTAAATCTGCCTGCATCAAGTAGCAGATGAAGTCATAGGTTCCAAAACACAATATCCCACCCTATTTAGGTACCAGCTACCTCAGCCCAAACACACACATGATTGGACAAAAATGGGGTACTTGAGGAAAGGCAGCAGAATCCCCAAAGACACCCAAGGACCAAGATCATTTCCCACTCTGCCCAAATATGCCTCCCTTGCCTCGATGTCTTTCCATGCTGTCAAGGTGCTGTAGTGTGAGTATGTAACCACTGGTATGTCTGACTGAGTGATCAAGGGTCACAACATAAGAAGAAAAAGGACAGGAGACAGAAGTATAAGGTGTCCTCATTTAGCATGTCCATGTTCACATCTGCCTCCCAACAACCCTTCCCTACTAATGCGAACTCCGGGAATGTACCAGAAATGTCAGTGACTCCACCCTACCCTAACCCCACAACCAAACTGCCTTAGCCAACAGAACATAAGGAAAAGAGTAAGAGCCTTTTAGTCAAACAGCGCTCAAACCTTGGTTCTTTCATCTCCTCTGTCACTAACAGCAGTGAGAATTTGAGCAAGTTATTTGTTTCACAATCTATAAAATTGTGGTCAAAGTGCCTCCAGTGGGAGGGAGACCAGTCAGGACCCCTTTCCTAACAGGCAACTTTGCACACTTCAGTGACACTCCCCAGGTACAGGAAATACATAGTCCAGGTAACATGGACCTTCTTGTAGTCCCTTCTACCTCTCCCTCACCCTCCCTTATTCCTTTCCTCTCTAGACTCTCCTAATGGACTAAACCTCCTCATATCCATTTTGACAGGAAAAAAAAAAGGGAACCGAAGCTGACCTTCTACATCTCCCCCTGCACACTGCTTCCAACACACACACACCCCTTCCCCTGCCAAAGCTTGTTCACAACAATCCTGATCATGCTCTTGCACCTTATCAGGATTCTCTGTACATCTTATGTTTCAAATGGACACATCATCTAGGAAAAGTTTTCACTGGGCCTAGGAAGAATCTTTAGACCCAAAAGACAGGAAAAAAATGAATGCACAATTGGCAAAAGGAAAAATGTGTGCTTGACTTCATAGCACCTCTGAAAAGAAAACTAAACTCAGAAGCACCATTTTGAGTAAAATTGTTCTTCCCTTTCTTGCTTCCCCTTCTGCTGTACAGTTTCTTTTCCCAACAATCTTTTCCTCAAATAGGGTTGTATGAGTCACCTGGGGAGAGTCAAAGGAAGGTTGGTGTGTAACCCCAGGGAATTCCCAATACGAGGAATTTCAAGTGAAAATGAAATGAACAGAGGGAGACTATTTAGTGACAAAGAATCTAAATTCCAGCTTCTGAATCCCAGAGCCGTTTTTCAGACATGAATGTGAAAAGAGAAAACACTGGCAATATTGAGGCCATTTGTAAAGAGTATGCTTTCACAATGAATTAGGCAGATGAACAAGGAGTGGTTTTTTGGTGTGCCTTGCTCCAGGGCACCTACATCTATCCAGGAAGACATGTCATAATTAATATAGCTGAAAGGGTGGCAGAAATTGAACAGGCAGTGAAATGAAGAAGATTTCTAGTGCCTCCTAAATGGGGACTTCACACTGTAGTGTCATGATATGCTAGGAAGTAGTATGAATTCCCAACATTAAATATAATCAAATGAAAACACTACTCCCAAACTAAAGAAAGATGAGCCTCTTCACAAGTCTATTCTCTTCGCAGGATGTAAGGATGACTCAGAGTTGATCATCCTTACAAGAATGGCCTACAGTTCAATATCAGCAACAAGCAAGAAATTATTCTGCCAGAGAAATTCCATTTTCAAGTGATACTAACTCAAGACCTATAGAGTCTTCATATTTATTTTAATTTCATAAAATAAGCCTAAGGCTGGAAGAAAAATATATAGACACTTCTGACAGATTTTGATACTAAAAGCAACCATCCACATCCAGTACCTTTCCATGTAGCCAGTGACAAGCAGGCTGGGTTTAACTAGGCAAAATGTATGAACATAAATGGTGGGGGAAAAACTCAGATCTATGGAAAAATGATGGGGACTAATGGGGAACGGGAAGCTCAGAGCTGTGGAAAAATGATGGGGAAGAGGGAAGCAAGAAGGTTTAAAGGGGTTTAACAAAAACAAGAGCTTCACATTCACTCATCTATTCTTTCAACAAGTATTTATGGAGCACTGACTGTATACCAGGTACTAGGAACACAATGCTGAATAGGACATAGTCCATGTCTGCATGGAGCTTACAACTAGTAAGGTGGATATAAACCTAAGCCTGACATAATACAGCATAATTAAGTACTAAAGTTGGGGCAAACAAACTTGAGGAAAGGCCCCTTAACCCACCCTGGGATGTGAAGGGTCAAGAAAAGCATCCCAGAGTAAAGAAGGTCAGAAGCCAAAGCAAATGCCAAGGTGAAAGGCATTATGAACAAATCTCCTTTCCTCTTCGTCTAATGTCTTTTTCGCTTTAACTTATGGCAAAAGGCGATGATCAAAAAAGGTGGGTAAATGGACCAGAGGATGAAACCAGCTGAGACCATGATGTTATAATCACACATAAAGCTATGTGAAAATTTGAGAATACAGGAGGGAGAGTGTAATTCTGAGACTGACAGAGGTGAAGTTTAGGCCAAATAGTGGAGGTTGGGTAAAAAAAAAATTGCAAGAGAATCGTAGCGAGAGATACTGACAGAGTATTCATGGCTGATTGATTTCATCAGCTCAAACAGAACTGTCACCTAGAGTCCACTGCTCAAATTGGCCCCTTCTTTTTCTTCCTGGTAAACTAGCCGACATCTGTGGAGTATGTTCAATTGCCCTTTCTAGAAGGCCTTTAAAAAGTATTTTTTTCTCTCTTCAATATTTTATTTGATGTTTCTGTTAGACTGTCTTATCCCTAAGCAATGGCAGAAAAATACGTTTGCCAATGTACAATCAACTCTGAGAGTCAAATGAAAACTGTCCTTCTTTACATGTATAGGTTTCTCCAGTGCTGCATGAAAGTGCAGTTATGTTTAACTTTTTCTCAAACTCAGTACATTTATAGATTTCTTCATCATTGAGGATTTTGGTGTTGGATGAAATGAAGGCACTGAAAGATGCTTCACAGCACTGGACATAATATATGGGACTTCTCTTTCACATGGATTCTCTTGATGCTGAGGAAGGACGGCACACTGAGTGAAGCTCTTCCCACTTACTGTCTGCACAGACCCGCTCCCCTGAAGAATGCTTCTGTGGGACAATCACATCTTAGGAGAAATCACTGACACATTCTTCTTGGTGAGTTGCCATCTTTACCTTTCACTGTCTTCCTGTTGCTGAATATTTTCCAGATTGGAGGATGTGCAGCATTTACGTACCTTTCTTGTAATATTTCAATATACTGTGACACCCTGGAAATGTCCTGCTAACTAAATCTGAGTAAAAAAAGAAAAAAATACATACCTCAAACGTATATTATTATTATGGGAATCCAACATTTTTCAGAATTCAAAACAAAGCAGGAAAACCAAAATGAGGTACAGTCAACTTTGTTTTCTTTCTTTCTCTCTCTCTTTCTTTCTTTCTTTCTTTCTTTTCTCTTTTCTTCTTCTTCTTCTTCTTCTTTTTTTTTTTTTTTTTTTTTTTTGAGACAGTATATCACTCTGTTGCCAAGGCCAGAGTGCAGTGGCACGATTGTGGCTCTCTGCAGCATTGACCTCCCAGGCTCAAGCGATCTTCCCATCTCAGCCTCCCAAGTAGCTGGGACCACAGGTCCAGTCATCACCGTGGCTGGCTAGTTTTTGTATTTTTTGCATAGATAGGGTTTCACCATTTTGCCCAGGCTCGTCTCAAACTCCTGGGTTCTGTTCAACTTTCATTCATCCATTATCACTCTCCACTTTCAACTATCACTCTACATATTTTTTAAATGAAAAAGAGCATTGGTTTTATTGCATATTTCATGCTATGAAGGAGATAATAAGCAGATTCTGGAAGTTCTTTGAAAATACAACCAAGGTGTTTTTGAAAGCTAGACTAAAATATGACTTTAATATGATATACAAAAGAAATAGCTTGGGTCAGAATGAGGGGGAAAGGGGCCTTAAAAATGGGAAGAGGAGTATATAACAGAGAAAGATGTGAAGAGGCAAAATACTTCAGAATTAGCTAGGGGAGATATGGGAAGGAGCAGAAGCACACACAGAAAAGCAAAAGAAAAATTGATGCCATTCTGCAATGTTGCTCACCTGTATATCTGTGTTCTCTATAACTAAATTCCCAGCATCTAGGATTCTAACTAATGCATCCCCACCACAGAGCTCACAGACCCCTACACACAGCCAGAACCAAAGAGTTTTTGAAGGTACAAGAAGTTTTACTCTCTCTTCCCCCTCTTTCACCATATATCTCCCTGACGACTTCTTCAAACCTGTTTCCTCTCTTTTTCCAGTTTCTTTCACTTCCCACTCTCTGACCCAGAAGTCAACCCAGGGTTGGGTCCTCTGTTAAATGACAAGCTGTGGAGGCCAGAGACAAAATGGCAGGTCTGAGGGTTACTATCTACGCCACCAGACTTAAGAGAAGCAAAGAGGCTACAGAGAGGTAGAACATAGAGGTGGAACCAGAAGAGACAAGGATCAGAAGAGAAGCAGAAATAAGTGAAATGAAGTAGGATGGTTCAGATCTGCTTGTGCCTACAAACGTTTACCGTGGGATCCTTTTCTTGGGGTCGTTGGCATGACTCCTGGGGCAAGGGCAGAGTGTCAGAGGAGGTCTGTCTAGGACAAAAGCAAGAAAAGGTACTCAGGAGGGAGAGAAGGATGACGATTCCAGGAATCGCGTGTGAGAAAGAGGACTGAAACAGAGCATTTAATAATCGGAGCCCGTATGGAATAATAAAGGGAATCTGTAGGTGGCAGGGGTTTTATAGAGGGAAGCCAAAGATGTGGGAGGAACTGAGCGTTAACAAAGACAAGGCAGAAAGTGACCCTAGAAATGCTGTCCAGTTTCCAGTCCCTGCTCACAGTTCATTCAATGTATCATCCAAAGGAGAAACCGCAGAATTAAGCCACACCCACGCAGCTAGTCCACACTCGATTCCCCCGTGCAAGTAACTTTTTCTCAAAAATCTTCGTGACTCAACTGGTCGCGAAGATTTCCTCTCAAAAGAACCAACTGCTACCACCCTGCAAAAACTACAACACCCATAGTGCCCCGCGCACAGGCCGAGTGACCCATCCTTTTCCGATTCCCACTAGCTAATATTCCTAGCCAATTTCCTCTGCCGGGAAATGATTTGGAGCACATGCGCACCTCCGCTCCTTGTCGTGGGCTGGCCTCCAACTTGGAACGCGGCGAACCGCCTGACCTCTTCCGGCAGCCTCGTCCTGGGACGCATGCGCACATCGAGACGCCCCGACAGCAGGGCGCGGGTCTCTAGTTATATATTTTGCTATGCTCTAGGCTATGCATTTGGAACAGTGCTTTCCTTTTTATCTTTGTTTCTTTTACTTAACTTCGGGATGCAGCAATGAAGTGTTATTAAAAGAGCCCTAAAGCTGAGGGTGAAATTTGGACTCTGTAACAAGGTCCTAAGCAAGTCACTTAAACGTGGGGACCTCGGCCTCCAAACCAGATGACACTCGAGGCACAGCCTGCCTCCTATCGCTGCTGGAAAGACTGGAAATGGTACTGTTGGTGCCCATAGACCTCCAGACCCCCGTGGGACAGCAGCTGGATGTTCCTCCACCATTGAATGAAGTGTGAGCAGGGACTGGAAACCGGACAACATTTCTAGGGTCAGCTGGAAGGAGAGGTAGGGAAAGAGAAGCTTCCTTAGCCTTTCCCTCGAGCCCACGTCTCATCAGTAAGCAACTCCTGACAATTCTCCACCTACATATCTTCCCACTTTTCTCCATCCACACTGCCATTTCTCTATCCCCACTGCCATACCATTTTCTCTTGCTTAAATGATTTCCCTGTTTCTAGCCCCTACCCTACCTGCTGTGGGATCATTCTAAGATGCAAATTTGATCATTAAAATATTTCATGGCTTCTCTTGGGCCTCAGAATAAAGTCCAAACACCTTAAAACGGCTCTAAGACACTCATTGCCTGACTTCTTCCTAGTCTTCCAGACTTCCTTCTCTCCGTCTGTGTTCCAGTCATCTTCAGAAACTATCAGTTTAACAAATCAGGCTGCCTCTTACTTCAAAGGCTTTTTGCATATAGGAACAATTTAATGAACATTCTAAACTCTGCTGAACATATTCTCAATGAGGTTTTAACCAGTGCCTTCAACCGTACTCAGTTCTTCCAGCCCTGACAGATTCTGTAGTTTTTTTGTTTACTTAATTATTACAAGTCCAGTCTAATGTAGTCCACTTAAAATCTTAAATCTCATTTCAAGTTTTGCAATGAGATTCGCAAAACTTCCTTCCTTCCCCTCAGCACCAGCCAGACTTCAGCAGTGGAACTTGGTTTGGGGAAGTGGTGTATTCTGTCCTTTAATAGAAGTCTGCCTTTCCCAAAAATACTTACTGTGTTGGAACCCCGAGGAAAAATCAGGGCGGGCTGGGAAGTGAGGGCCAAAAGTCATTTTGCCTGACTGGGCATTAAATTGCAATTGTCTGTTGGTTCTCTCTGCCTCTCAGTTGAAGGCTGATTGGTGATGAATACCTTCCATTTGGAAGGTACCCAAATGCTAGTTCTTAATAGGCACATGGGTTAGTTCCCTGGGAGCTCTCCCCAGTACATAATTCCTTGATGGGAAATCTGCTGCAGCGTAAAACTGTTACTGGTAGAGGGTCTTGACTGCAAGTTGTCCAGATTTCTTGGCGTTTTCAACAAAGGATTGGACAAAACGCACAGCAAAGCAAGGAAAGAAGGAAGCAACAAAAGCAGAGATTTATTGAAAGTGCAAGTACACTCCACAGTGTGGGAGCAGGTCGTGCAGAGGCTCAAGGGCCCTGATACAGAATTTTCTTGGGTCCAAATACCTGCTAGAGGTTTCCCATTGGCCACTTGGTGTTCACCCCATGTAAATGAAGTGGTGGCCCACAATCAGTCTGATTGGTTGCGGAAAGCAACCAATCAGAGACTGAAGTGAAGTTGCAAAGTTCCACTCCTTTCAGTTTCCCATCTACTGTGCAGAAACGGTGTGAATTTACTTAAAGGGAGTAGCTTCTGGTCCTTTTGTTACTTAGGCGTGGAAAGTTAAGGCTTTCGTTTCAATTTAGTTCTAGAAAGTCAGCATGAAACTGCCTTAGGTTTCTTGCCTTCAGACCCTATTCTCCTGCCTCATAACTGTTTCCCACAACCCCTCAGCCCGGCTCTTGGTGGTATAACTAGGTTTCCTGGCTTGGCAGCCAATTCTCTTGGAAGGAGAACCGGCAAGATGACCCACACCCTATTGAGTGTTCATTTAACGTACAGTAAACTCACACCGATTTCCACACTATTCATTTGACTCACATCCCTGCTAAACCAAGTGGTAAGAGTGATAGCTCTTTCCCTGTCATCCTTCTCTCCCTGCTCTAGTGATCAGAGTACAGATCAGCAAGCTCATCAGCAGATATCCAACCAGGGATTGAGATATCAGTCTCTTCTTCTTGCCAGCCCACCAATTTCTATGAGTGATTCTCTTGGAGACCCCTCACTTGGAGGAGGTGAGAACAAAAGTCACAGCACTCATTTCCGTGGCTGGGTACACATGACTCCATCAGTGCCCTTTCTCTTTTTACCTCCATATTATCTTCTAGGGGATGGTTTTAAATCTAGGAGAGGTTAAGGATGGGGTGCTGTAGTATGGTTCGGGGTAGCAGAACTAACTTTCCTCTTTTAATGGCACCTCTAGGATGTTAACGCAGGACAATATATTCCAAGGGGCCTTGGACGAACCTAGTTCTCCACTCTTTCTTGCTTGTAATTCTCAAGAAAAACCGTAAAATGTGCTAGGAATACAACATCCTGAGAAAGGAAGGAACCGCTTGAAACTGGGCCTCCTTGTTCCTGTCCCTCCTAGGGAATGTAACATCTGGAGTTGGAGAGGAACTGCCAGGGACAGTCCAGGCTTTGTACCTCTCTCCCCTGGAAGCAGGATGCCCTTCCCAGCTTTGTCCAATGAGTCACATGACTCCTGAGGTGTATAACTCATAGTGGGCTGCCTTTTGGGGCCTCTCATTTGTGATGCACGTGGGGCATGTACAGGCAACACTCAATCCTGTTCAGGAAGCTTCCTTGAGCCTTGAGGACTGCCTCATAATGGATCCTAGCCTTCTTTTGTCCCTTCCTGCCTGC